TTCAGCTAAAATCCACCTAGGCTATTTACTGCTAGGCTATTCTTTTAACATACTCATAGACTCTGTGATATATTGAAAGTGCATTTTGAAAATTAAATATCACAGCTTGAAACTATTCTAACTATTCTGTAAAATTTACTCTAACAAATTTTGATTGCTGAAAAAGCTGAGTTTTTCAAAAGTCAACAATTTGAGCTAAGAATGTATACATTTGTTCACTATGATTTTAATTGATTATTTTATCTACTCAAAATATAAGTAGAGATCTGAGATACTAAATAACCAAGTTTCAGTTTCATTCCAAAGCCCAGATGATTTATGAGCTGTTGCCTACATGCTCTAATGGACAATCGAAGGTGTAGAAAGCCAACACTGTAATTACATAGTAAAACTATATTTTTATAAAAAATACATAAAAATGTATCCGTTTTTCCATCACAAACCACTAAACCAAATTCAACGAAGTTTTTAGGTTTTTGCACAAATATCCTATGAATCCAGGATTGTTATAATTACAATTTCTACTCAGGCTTCTGCCTGTGCACTTGAAGCTTTTTTTAAATGAAGTTTGGAAATAAAATATTTTGAAAAATAATAACCATGTATTTCAATATTTGCTTTCATACACATTTAAAATTATTTTTAATTTTTCAACTTTATTGTGACTTATAAATCAGATGATGTATGTTTATTTATTCTACTGCAATGTATTTTGCCCTTCACTACTGAATTAAGTTAGAATAAGTCATAACAAAGTATTTCATGAAGTTAGACAATTAATTCTGTTATCAATGGTATTACTAGATATTTTTTACATCTTTGAAGTTAGGTTCATACTTCATGGGTAAGTTTAAGTAAAGCTACTAGTGAAACAATATAAGATTTTTTTACAAGTATTTATTTACAATCTATTCTAGGTATACTAGAATAATAAGTAAATTTCGTGACAATTTAACATGGGTTGATTACACTCCATCAAGTGCACTAACATACAAAAAAATTATAAAAAATTGAACTAGAAACAATTTGAAAGGTCCAATTGGATTAACTCTTTTGAGCCTATATGTAGCTTCACTATTATCGTGGAGGTGAATGAATGAATATATAGTTTATTCCAAATAACATTGGCTACAAACTGTGATTGTAAAATAAAATAAAGTCTATTAGACAAAGACTTTTGTCACTAAAAATACAAACGAGTTTTAATAAAGCCAAAATATATAACAATAAAACAAAGGAACTAGCAGACATAGGCGCTACCTGTGTGTCTGCTAAGTTGCTGTCAAATAGAAAAAAAGAAAAATTATTGAATTTTGGAATGGCAATTAAAAAAGACAATAGGTTGTTATTATTATTAGTTAAATAAGTTAAGTTAATAAGGTTAACTGCCAGGAAATATAAGATAGCAATAGTACAGTAACTGTGAAGACCAGTTGGTTTCGGTGATCACTGACCATGTGTCTCAGTCCAGTTGATATCAGGGTAACCTGCAAACCCACACCCACACATGCAAAGGGAATTGATGTTTCTCAGTTCTTCGGTTCAAAAATATTTCCCAAAAAAATTAAAAATCGCAAAATATTCTGTAGAAACCTTTGTTATGTCTACTATGCTCAAAGCCTCTGATTATCATGTACTGTACCAGCAGAGTTGTATAAATAGGTAACTAAAATTAACTATTAAGTAGACATCCCAATCCATGTTGAATTTGCAGCCAGTTTTACAATGAAAATTGATGTAGCCTAGTTGAGTTAAGCCACCGACAAAAAGTCCTAATATCAATCACTGATTTTTCTATTGATAATGCAAACTTTTAAGCCAAGCCAAATTAGAAGGATGGCTTGTTTTAAATTTAAGCATCTTTTACGTCTACGTCACATAAAAAATCTCAGTGCCAAAATCAAAACAAAATTAATAATAGCACTATCTTTAATGGTCAGCAACTTTGATGTTCTATTGGAATAAAAACTAGACTACATCTGTCCCATATAGACGGAATCATAGATTAACCAACACAAGTAGACCTCTCACCCCATTGTAAATTTTGAAGCTCAATTTTCATGTCTAGTTCATGTCCAGTGACACTGATCACTAGTGTCCACAAAATTTTGTTTCCATTGTAGGGTTGATTTTAGCTTTGCTGTTTAGTTAAATAACTAGGAACTAGAGGACAAGTTATTGTTTATGATTGGATTGTTTTATTTGGTTAAACTAGGTATTAAATTACTGAAATAACAAGAAACAAATTTGAAACAAAACCTAACCTCAACAGTGCACCGGACAGAACTAATAATAAAATTGTCTTCAGCTAAACCATAATAATGAGAATACTAAGGGAGTATGTTTTAAGGTACAGTAGTTTAGTGACTGGATTGGAATGTGTGTGTATGGTTTAGTGATTATGGTACAAAAAGATACATCTTGTAAATACAAATTCTCAAATCTTAACATATTTGTGGTGTCCGAATATAGGGTTTGGCTAGGATCAGCTGACAACTGGTGGTCAGCAAGTTGTGGAAGAGAGGGTAGATATAATGTCTAACCACATCCTTCCTACAGCTCCCGGTAATATCGGTTACTTTTACACAAACTATTGCACTAACATTTTGCTGAGCAAAATATTTTTTTTAATATTTTGTCCTATAATTGAGAAATTCTCATACACAAATATTTACAATATGTAATTTCAACTCTCACCCAATCAAGACCAAAAATGGTTCATTACACCTTGATCAGTTAAAGAAAGATATTATTTTTACCCATTGTAAACTATTAGCTTAAAAGTGTACATCTTTTGTCAAGGTCATCGTAGGACTTTAAAGTAGGCCAGATATATTAAGTAACAGAAGATACTTCCTGGTGTAGGTGGATCTTTAGTATCAAGTATCATCTGTGTCTCTTCAGACATGCTCTAGTGACTATATCCCAGTGTTCCGGTCTCCTCAAGTTCAAACTGGATTTTCACAATGGATTCTGACTTTCAAAAATCATATTCAATTTAGTAGCTACACTCTCCTAGGTGTCCTGATGAGCCTCTTTTGTTTTATGTTTCTGTAGGCAAAACTTCTTCACCTGCAATACAGTAGATGTCTTCGTTCCGAATTCTGTTGTATCAGAGTCTTCCAAATATTTTCTTTCCATCTATTGCCATTCTCTCTTCAGTCATATTTTTTACATAATAAATATCCTATAGAGTAGGAAATCCGAGTTTTTTCTCAATATTCTTCTGTCACTAGTTAGCCCAATTAAAAAAGAATGTTGATTAAACACAATAACAGTGCAATAGGGTTTTAAATCAAACTAAAAATATCGGCATAATTCTCAAGTAAATATCGGCATAATTCTTAAGTAGTTTTTATGTTAACCTCACTGATTAAAAATCTGTAAGTTAAACTAGATATCAAATTTTTTCTAACAATACAAGTAACACACCTTTTAAGAACTCGTCAAGAAATAAAACTATATTTCCAATAAGTTTCAATAGTCTTTAAAATACTCAACACTGAATTTCGCTGTGTGAATAACGGTTTACAAGAAGTTGCAAATTAAGTGGTTGGAAATCTGGAATAGTTTAAATGATTAGTATTTTACGAGTTAGGTTCTATATTTCTCTAGTTCCTCACCAGCAGGCCTTGGTAGATACAGGAATAGACATGACCTCAGCCAAAACACAACTGCCTCTCCAATGTACACAAGACCTTCAGCTAGAAAACTTTACTGTTATGTGTAATTCAAGATTGCCTTTATCCTCAATCACTTTGTGATTTTACCCTTTGAATCACGGGACATTTCACTAATTTTATATACAGTAGAATCTCTATTTGGGACTTAAACCTGCAGCAATATATATGAATTTTAACTGATGGTATTTTTGGCCTCTAGGGACCTCATAACGAAAAATTAAAACGGTCCCGGGTCCAGGTCTTACCATGAGTACTACGGTAATAGCTTATTCCCTATATGGGAAATTCGCTAAAACCAATTTCAGCATATGTATTACAAATAATTACCGTTAAATTAATAAAATTTATATTTTGTAAAATCTTTTGGTGACTAAGGTTTTTTTCATCAAAAAACTAACTTTTTTATTTCGACTAGACTTAGACTAGTGTAGAGTAGGTAAGAGATATAACTATCTACATTTGTGAAGTGCTTGTACTAAATTCTACCTAAAATCAATTTATGTTTGAAATAAATTTCTCGGCAACACTCCTGCTCTCCGGCATAATAAATTAATATTGATATTTTCGTCTTAGAAGTGTGAAAGAAACACTGCCAATCTAGATCGTAAAGCCAGCAGCTTAGACCAACAAATGCAAAGGAGTGTGTTTAATCAATCCTAGTAGAGTATACTAATAAGGCAGTAGAGAGAGCAGGAAAAACGTCGATTAACATCAACAATCACTAAAGACCAAGGTTGGTCTTGGTCTTGTGATTGTTGAGTCACATCGATGTTTTTGCAACGATGTTATCGGTACATTGATGGTTGTGGGCCTATTGATGTTCATCCCTACAATGCACCCGTTTTGGTACAGTCACACCACTTGGAAATAGCATGGGATTTCACAGTACTCGATTGTCCATAGGGAGGGTTGGATAAAACGGAAGGCCGTATAACCGAAGGTCGAAAAATGCACATCTATTTTCATGTTTCCCCTTGTCTTATGATTACAAAACCCTAATTCTTTTGAAACAGTTTTTTTTGTCAATTCACTTAGAATTAATTGCCTAAATTTAGAAAAATGCCCGATTTGAAGTGCAACTCGCGTAGAATCCACTTGAGCTATCCAGCCATATGCTGTTTATTTTAGGTGGCCACGCAACAAGTTTTACTTGTTACTCGTGATGGACATTAAAGTCCCAACAAACGCACTCAAATTACTAGCATGTCTTATAAAACGTCTTTTTTACTTCTGATTTGATTGTTTATAACTTGTTTGAAACTCTACTACTGATTCCCAATGTTACAAGATATCAATGAGTTTTTTTCTTTGTTGCAGGTACACAGGATGTAAGGCGTTCAAGTCGATGATGAATGAGGTAAATGACATGGCGGGACAACATGAGGTGATAGCAGAGAACTTACAGACGGACGTCATCCGAGAAGTCACCATACTAGTCAAGGACATGAAGGAGGAGAGGAAAAAGGTAATTGATACCATTGACCTAAACTCTTACAAGTCAGTCAGCTACAGAAGATAGTACTACAACGAAACAATGTATGACCAAAAAATTACTGTCTGGTTGGATTAAATTTTAAGAGTGTTAATAAAAAGTAATCTGCCCGGTTATTGCAAGATGCTGCACCAGCTAGTACTCAGTAGTGCTTGGATTTTTTAATTTTGTGGTGGATTCATATTGTATCAATGATGTAACGTCAGAAACATTATGTCTCATTGTAGTACAGTTGGCATAGTTAGTCACCAGGCAGCTTATTTACTGCTACTCCATGACATTCGCAGCTCTCGTTGTAAAATAACTACTCTTGTAATTGTTTACGGCTAGTGTGCTGATGCAATGCAGTAACCATTATGTAGTATGAAGTGTGCTGATGTATTTGCATCGAATATTGGTTCTGGAACATAACATACATTGCAGAATGTAGGATACAATGTAGTAGGGATTAGGTAATTATTACATATATAGTTTTTCCAGTTAGCTGCCTGCCTAATTTTATTTGGAATAGCATGACTTTTGGCTATTGTGTTTTTGCTTGTGCAAGAAAATGTGAAACTTATTTTGATGAAAATATTTACCCAAAGAATGTATTTTATAATTGTATGGGGTGCATAATATAAAAAATGCCAACTTTAAAATAACATTTTTGCTTTCTTGAGGTTCTGGAGGATAATAAAGTGCATTGCAGCAAAGGGCGCAGAAGAGAATATTTAGGCCTATTTATTATGGTTCTTTTAATCTGCTTTTATATTGGTTACCTACACACCTACCTGTGATTATAGGGACAAAACTCAATCGTACAACTTAACATGATAGAACTGGCTTTCTTTAAATCAAGTCATTTGTTTGGCAAAATACATTGAATAACTTAATATAAATCTGAACAAATTAAATGCAAATAGCACAAATAAAAACATAGTGGTTTTCATTTTTCTGTTTATAAAGACCAAACAATATTCACTTTCAGAAGCTCCACACAAAACCATGGATATCGATGGTAGAAAACCGGAGTTTTTAAGGCCATAAATGTCTGTGTGTTGACTTGGTTCATTACCACCTTTGTATAAAATTTCAGTCCCATGAGTTCAGTAGTTTTTATGTTTAACTAAATCAGAAACACAGACAGGCAACACCTCTTTACAATATAATAGACTTACCACTGATGAAGGTACATTTTACGCTTCATTGCCTCTGACAGTTAAGAATGTTAAGATCAGCTGATCTCTAGACTAGTCAGGTTAGCCAACCTTCAGTGCATCAATGAGTAAATTGCAACCTATTGCAAACTTCCCGTCACACCACGTGTAATCATACATCCACAATCCACTCTGAGTTGCAGTTTTAGAGTGTCAAGTCTGGAAATCGATCATAAAATTAGAAGAAATACGTTCAACCAACCATTCATTTTACAAATACAGAATTTAAAAATACAAGACAATTTGTTTTAACACGTTCGCTACTGGGCGTCGCATATATGCGACGCCGCGGTAATTGCCACAGACCGAGGTATACATTTGAATCTTACACATAGACCGTCTGTCACTTGGATAACAGTACACACAGACCACGGGCGAAAACCTGTAAAACAGTGATCATTTACATTGTAATACGCTACAATCGTGTTTGTAAATAAATTATTCTTGTTTTTTTGTAATTTTTATAACCTTTAGTAATGTCGCATATTTGCGACGCCCGGTCTACAGCGAAGACAATAGTGAAAATTATCATAGTTTTCTTGAAATAGACTAAGGGTCGCATATATGCGACGGTTCATTTTTTTGTGTTTTAAGGTGAAAGTAAGTAAAAAAATAAACAGATTATTCAAGAAGAGTTTATAACTGAACAAATATAAAAGCTACATAGGATAATGCAGCATACGTACTGCATACATAAATACGGTGATGCAGAAAAGTAAAGACCAGTTTTTCCAACTATTATATGACGTCACCAATCATCATATCCACAGACCAAACGACGCAGTTGTGCGTCAGACATCTCTGTAGACCACTGCAGGGAATTCAGTGCCTTCAAATAGACCACTACAAAGATATAAGCATTTTAATAACATTAGAACCCCGACGCAAATATGCGTCGGCAGTCTATTTTAATGTGACTAGCCGTCGCATATATGCGACGGCAGTCTATGGGTGGAAACCGGCCGTCGCATATGTGCGTCGCTGGTGCATGTGAATGGAAAATTTCGTACTATTGCAGTAGCGAACGTGTTAACCAGCACAAAAGGTATGAATGGAATAGAAACTTCCATTCTTACAGAATAGGCCTACTCGGGTGGGTGTCTGTATGTTGTTATGTTGTCTGCATGCTTGGTTGTTATCAGATCAAACTTATGACATCAAACTGAAGAGAAGAAGAGGATACTAGATATGAATGAGTCTTTTGCTAGCTATGAGAGAACTAACTATGACAACCACAACCACAGCCAGTGTAAAAATTGAAAACAGAGAACAATTTAGGAATGCTTGAGATGTTCGGGGCTGTCTCGTTTATGGTCATTACCTATTGAGTGTATTAAGCTATATATCAGAGTCTGAAGGTCTGTATTGAAGGTGAACCAAATGCATATTGACTTGTAATTCCTTGTTGAATTACACAAGAGTAATATATGTGTGATGTAAAAACAACATTAAAAACTCTGGCTGTAGTACATTTGTTTAGTAACACTTCTTCAAAATTCTATCATAATCGTCAATCTTACTCAGCAAATTTTACAACCTATAAAACATTTTGCTTACTAAAGAATGTTTTAGAATATCTTTTTGGGCTTCAGTTATGAACTAAGTATAGTTTATGCAACTTACTATTATCGCTAATGCTATTAATCTCCCTTTAACTTCAGTTATGCATATCTATTTTCAAAGGAAGTGCAAAATTAACAGACCAAACAAAGTTTCTTCTTCACAAACATGTTCTGCCAATCTAATTTACATTGAAGAGACAGGATGTATACTTGTTCTATTCACGGATTATTTATTCTCTTCTTTCCGTCCGTGTTTGATGATTGGTAACACCCGTCGTCCGCAGCTCCAGACCTGGCAACCTGGCCAGAACTTGAAAAAGTGTTGGATAGGACAGTGGGAAAACACAGATCTGAAATAACATTGGAAAGACAGCTAAGGTTTCAATGTCATCTATCTATATTTTGTCCTTCAAATAAGATAAAGGAGTATGTTCTTTTGCAAATAAAAATTGTTTTTTAGTCTTTTTTTTCTTCTTATAAAATGACTCAGCTTCGTTTTACCTTGGCTAAGATTAAGTTCACATTACCTTTTGTACTGCTGGCTTGGTTTACAGTACATCGAGCAACTAACAGTAAAACATGTCTAATTTAAGGTCATTTTCCACCTTTCCTCTAAAGAAAATAGTTGAATGAGCTACCTACTACTACCATTTTCACACTTAGTTTTTCTTACTGTGATATTTTATGTGCCATAAAAGATGTTATAGCTTAAAACATGAAGTTGAAATCGTAGGTTAGCTTGGTTCCAAATGTTGGCATATTCAACATAAATCACTACTTTATATCAGCGCACTCTGATGTCTCAATTGAAAACTGGCTTGAACATGGGAATAAATGCTTTTTAGTTCCATCCATAGTCAAAACTACCTCTTAGAGTGCTCAGTTGTGGTATATTTTTATCTACCCATTGTGATACTTATATAACATGTTACACTCTAACAGAATATCGTTGTTGCAGCATTTACAAGAAGGGGCCCGCATGATGACATCGTTGAACAACCAGATAATGACGTTAGAGAGATCGAGGAAGAACTACGAGAAGGCATTCAAGGAGGCGGAGAGAGCCATTGAGAACTTCCAGAAGGCAGATGCAGACTACAACTTAAGCAGAGCTGAGGTGGAAAAACAAAGGATGAACATGACACTCAAGAGTCAATTGTGTGAAGAGAACAAGAACGAGTATGCCAACCAGCTGCAGCGGACCAACGACCTACAGGTAACATCTTATAAAGATGTGCTATTGGCATTAGCAGTTGCATGGAGAGTTTATATAGTGGTTAGAGTTTGATTGTAGTTGAAAGACCCAGGTTTATTACAGTATATACCCTTTAACCTTTCAACTCACTTTTTGAGGTACTAGTACGTCATGGTATTTCGAGGTGTGATGGACTAGTCGCTAACTCTCTGGTGCTGTAAAAGAATGGCAGTAATTAGTTGGATTTTACCTTCCAGCACTAGTGTCACATTTAGGCTTTAGCTGCCCTCGTCTGAATGTTACGAGTGTACATTTTCTTCATGTGTAGGTTTGATTCCCATACAACAATCCATACTAAGCTGAATAAAGTGAGACTTATCCGGTTCAAGAGGTTTTTGATTTTTTTCAAATCCTGAAATTCTTGATTGGGAACAACATTCCTGGTTGTATTTGTTTTGTATAAATCTACAGTAGAGGGCCGATTATCCAAAATGTTGGTTAACCTAAAGACGGTGAATTCAAATTAACCTCCACGCCAACATTACAAGAGCGGCCAGCAGGAGCGTACACGGCTCAACGTTTCTCGCAAAACTCAGTGACACAGTAATCATGCTGTCATTTTGGCCCTACACGTATACACATAACATTACTTTGTTTCAGTGACATCAGTGATCATTGTTTGTATAAAGTGTGTCATTAAAAATACCTCTACAGTGTTGTTCCGAACTCACCAAAACAGTGCTTTATTTGCATTTCATAGAACAAATATGGTGGTAGATTAAGTATACTGTGCTCAATGCTTAGCTTAAATGCAATGCTGAGTGTGCTATGCTTAATTACTACAGTAATTAAAGACGATCAAGTTGTTTGGTCAGATATGCCGAAGATCTTGGTGATATCATTACCTGTGTTGATGATCACCATTACATTAAATCAGTAAATTAAAACTTCTACAATGATCTCAAACATTGTTTGTAGCTCAAATTATACACTATATGCCAAGACTGATGGATTCTAATCACGCTTAACAAAGATATACGGTCATTATACGTTGATGTCCAACCATCCGAAAAATCTATTATCTCAACATTCCTCTGCCCCAACTGTTTTAAATAATCGACACTCTACTATATACATGTAATGGAACATTGTAATAATCAATATTGGAAACTTGTTGTCCCTACCTCATTGTGTCCTACATTCTGCAATGTATGTTACGTTCCAGAACCAACATTATCACATTCACATGCCCGAAGTATTCAGACAACTGCAGGAGCTGGATGAGAAGAGGATAAAGAACATCAAGAACTTCATGATCCATTCAGTGGACGTTGAACGAAAGGTGTTCCCCATCATCAACCAGTGTCTGGACGGCATCGTCACTGCGGCCAATCAGATCAACGAGAAGGACGTGAGTTGCTAAAACAAACTTAGGGTTTTAACAGTAGACTGGTAAGTCAGGAAAATGTGGGATTTTTGAAGGGTTGCAGAAAGATAATATAAGCTGTGCTATTAAAAATTTATGAACAAATATTTTAAATTAATTAATGTAGTTAAAGGATTGTCATTGTGGGCCGCTGTATCTTTTGCTAGATTTTGATTGATCACTCATTGTGATCATCATTGTGAAAATTATGGGCGTTTTTTCAATTGCTTGCCACACACCTAGAAATTTTACTGTTGTGTTAATCACCACTAGTGAAGTTTTTTTTTCAATTGCAATCTACGGCAATCAAGTCCTATCTATTGATTAAAGCACTAATGGTCACTCATCATTGGCACTAGGTGGTTTTTTTGCAGTGTCGTCAATGGTACTATTGGTGTGGCTTTGGGACTGTCACCATTAGCTCAAGTGTCATTGCCATTTCTGTCTTTGGAAAGTGAAGTGTGTTATCAATGAACTGATGCTCTATTGGTAACTTTGTGATTTTTACCTTTGCATTGTCATAGCAGTCGAATAGATTAAAATGCAGTATAATAACAACATCCGAAGACTGTATAACTGAGGCATAAGAACTTTAAACTAAAGACACATATGTTTCCTCAGGACACATTAATGGTGATAGAGAGATACAAGTCAGGTTACCAACCCCCCGCAGATTTCCCGTTTGAGGACCTCAGCCGCACAGACTCCACCCCTACCCCCACCCCCGCCATCATGAGGACCGAAGCAGTCACAGTCAAGGGAACCATGACGGCTGGCAAGATCAAGAAGAGGGTCGGGCTATTCTCGCTCTTCGGATCAAACAAGGTAGGTCTAATGTTCATTTTGGCTTTTGAAAAATATATTTGGTAACTATTTTTTGTTTACTTTAATTCTAAATATGTTAAATGTTGCTTTAAAAGCAGACTACTCAAGCTATTTATCATATTTGCTTGTAAATTCATTTTCTTTAACTCAAATGTCGGTGTTAAATATAAGTGGTGGATACTATAGTTATAAATGTGGTTAAAATATGAGGTAAGATGTCAATGTTAAATGAAAAGAAAGTCTTTGTGAATTTGTATATGTGTTGTTTTGCAAGAAGTTCATGAATTGTGTTCCATTTTATTTGCTCAATCGATTGGGAACTAAAGGCCGGTTTACACGCTGGAAACTAGCCTGTAGACTGGCCTTAACAATCCAACATGCAGCATGTACTGTCACATCTAAGTATTTATTAATTATATTTATTCGTTGCAAGTATTTTTTGCATGATTTTAATTCTGACGACAAAACAAATTTCAGTTTGCATTTCATATTTTTAATCTTAGGCCACAGCAAATAGCATGACTTTACATTTTGTGATTTTTTTTATTTTGTGAGTTATACTGTCGTATTTAGGATATATTTTAATGTGATTGCATGTACCATTTCTAAAATTTGTACAGAGATGAAGTAATAAATTATTTTTTTGGTGTGGGGATGTAGTTTTAGTAATTAAAAAAAATATTTTTGTTTGATTTAATATTCTTTAACACTGTTAGAACTTAATTTTCCTTCAATTAGCTAAACCAATCAATAGTAGAACTTGTTGAAGTGGTGGTTGTGGTAAATTACATCATAACTTCTAATCACAAAATGACTAAACTAGGAAACATGGGGATTTGATCTAAAGTTTTATGTATGTTTTAATTATCTTGAACAGGTTTATTTTATCACAAAATGATAAAATACAAAAACTATACAACCAACTGTGAAGTTAAAATGAAGTTTAAGCATCTGTTGAGTGACAGTGAATTCACTCATTAAAATGTTTTTTACTTTGAACTTATTTACGTTCGGTTTTTGTTTGCTGTGCCGATAATTATTATCATCCGTAGAAACATGGTGATAGTTAACTGTTCCATAGTTCACAATCTGTCTACTTGTACATTAACAAAGAAGAATTTTGATCACTTATAATTTACTCTTGATTATTTTTTTGTATAAATTCAATAGGCCCCTAATACGTTAGTTAACCCTTTGCGTTTGGTTGACCAATTTTATTGGCCATTTTGTTGACAAACAGCTAGGTAGTTTTAACATTGGTTGCCATTGCCGCTTGCACGACCAGTACCACTCACCTTTTTTCAGCATATCAGTGCGGCAGCCATTACAGCGGCTTCCTCCCACCAGCTTGGAATTGTTAGTTTCAAAGTCGCTCACTATACTTCATTACTTGTATACCGTAAAGGACAATGAAATTAATTGAAGCACTAACTAGCCATGTATTCCAAGTGGCAGTTTCAGAACACTAGCCGACCTAAAAACATTATAACTTGAGAAATACTCCTATTTTTTTCTTTTTTTCTAAAATTTTTTCACCACTAAATTCATTTTAACATTGCCAAAGTTGGAGCACAAATCATTAAGTAAGAATATCAATAATTTGTTTGGTTACATTATAAAACACATAATGTTACCCATGTGAGTAAAATGTACTTTAGTCCTTCACAATGGTCGAGAGGACAGGATGAAGACGCAATCCACATAACAAAAAGCGTTAATGTTTATACCACGACTATCTCCCATAAGAACTATACTGCATGATGAACATGGAAGTGAGTATAGACAATCACCTCTCTAAAAAAAAAGTTTTGTGTAAACAAATTGTTTTTCCATCTCTGCTAATCTGAGCATCCCAGTGTTTCCATAATGACAAGTTCTACTGGCTGTGCAAGTAGCATGGACAACCTATGAAAAATCTTTCCCAGCTGTTGTACCAATGACTGTGGCCAGACAGCTGACATAGCAATAGTGCTCCCAATCTCAAAGGGTTTCTGTGTGGTCTTCTGGGTATTTAAGATGACAAAAGTGTTGATGATTATGTATTTTTCTGTTGCAATTTGATGTACCCTTGCACCCCGTTGTATTTTGGTGCTGGTGGCTCGCTCACTCTAAGTAAGTATTGACGTAGAACTCACTCGCTCACTAACTCACCACTAACTTCAGTGCTTTCACTAAACATGTGTTGTCCCATTCACTCTTCATTCATTCAACCGTCAATTTTACTTTCTCATGTTTAATTTCATCCATATACATCTGTGTTTGCTTTTTCAATGTTTTTGTACATTTTTGTTCATATTAACAATAATTAATAAGTTTGTGTGTTGATTTATTAAATTTTCGTTCTCTAATATGTCATGTTATATGTATTTCGAGTTCACCTAATCACTAAAACTCATATCATTGAAAGCATTTAAGTTTAATGTTCCTGTATAGTAGGGATGAAACTTTTAAAAACAAAGTTCTTAACCATTTTTTTTCCTTCTAATTGTCTAAACAGAGCAAGTGATTTTTTAAATGCAATATTATTGTATGAAATAAGTTAAAAGTTTTAATTTTTAATCAATTGTATTTATATTACTAAATTTGATTAGCTACTTACTACTTATTTGTTAGGTCACAATATTAAAAGGAATCCCACTTAATGATTGGCAAAAAAACCTCCAAAGGCCAATGTGGAAATATACCTTCAAGAATTTGCTGCTGAGGTTTTTAGTTCAAAAGATTTCAAATTTCGCAGATGTGGTTTTATGCTTCTAGAGTTGTTGCTTATCTGCTTATAACTAGTTTAATAATATTAATGGATCAACTAGGAATCTTATTCGGGTTGTGACAGAAGTCTCGTCTTTCCGAGTGCGGGTTTCCAGTTTGGTTCCTGGTTATATACAGGTTTTATTCAGCAATGGATTACCGCATCACTTGTGCTTCTTTATTTGCCAACAGAACTTAAATTGTGATGTGTATAAATGAAAACAAAAGAAAAACACAAAGATACACAAAGACCTAATAGGTGATATTGGATAACCTAATCAAAATTATCAGATCTAAGTTATACAGCTATGACCCGTTAATTGAACCCGCAAGTTCAAAGATCACGTTGACATTACAAGATTCTGGTTGAACCATTAATGCTTTGTAGAGGTGGTAGTGCAAAGTCTGATTCATCAGATCCGATTGATGGATCGGACCGCAGTAGTGTAGCGCCTGCATGACTGATCCGTCTGCTTGGTCTGTTCATGCTATCAGAAGCTAATCGATGTGTGCAACTCACTGAAGGTACGTCAAGTCTTCCCTCCTTGTCTGTCACTATATCTTTGTCTGTGAAAGTGATCAATAAATGTCTGCTTAAGCTTACTATTTGTTAGTTGTAAGTTTCAGGTACAGTTTTTTTTTTAATTACAGTTAAGTTTTAAGTAGTCTGTATCTCATTTCTACAGAGGCTTATGCCTATTTTAACTGCTGTTCATATTTGATTGGTCGGGAAACTATTAAAAGTTTTTTTTTTTTATCTATCAACCCCTCCTTGTTTAGGTTTTTTTAAAGTTTTAACGTGTTTACTGTTGAGGTATTTTCTTTCTGATAAAAGTTGTTCATTGTATAACAAAAATACACAATTGGTCTCAGAAGAGTGCTGCCTTCCTTGACTTGATGAATTGATTTTTTTTTCTTTCTTCAATCCAGATGGCTTGGTTTTTTTGGTATTATGGGGTTTTATCATATACAATTTCAGGTAGAATTTTTATTAAACTTGTAAATGTATGAATGTTATTAGTAAAAATACTGTGTGATTCAATAGAAAATCCCTTAACTTTTCAACTGTATTTTTATGGCAATCCAGTTTGAGCCAAATAAGAATATAGAATCCATTGATGTTTTCAGCGTCAAATAAGTCTTTGGATTTAATCACTGTCAGATGTTTTGCACTATCTGTGAATTGGTATCCTCATTGGATAGGATTTGAAATGTGACTCAGTTGATGCCAACAATCAATGGATTCCTAATTATAATCTTATCATTATTTCTAATTTTTTCTTAAATATTTCAAACTAAATATAAATTCTTGTTACCAAATCCAATAAAGAATAAAGTCTTCCTCAAGATAAAATCTATTATAATTAAGGAAATATTATTTTTGTTTTTGACCAACATTTTATGTCATGTTATTTTAATTTTGATGATAAATAGGTGAATATTATTTTATAATGTTAAATGTATTTATCTGTGGACAGACATTCGACTTTAATTACAATCAATTAATTGACAGTTTTGTTTGAAATTCTAGAACAACTTATCTTCTTATGGGGATAACAAGGAGGACTTTAGTGATCTTCCTCCAAACCAGAGGAAAAAGAGGCTTCAAATGAAAATTGAGGAGATCTTGGCAAAAATACAACAGGAAACTGCTGCCAGGTATTGTGTCTTGCTCTTTATAAAGTTACCTTCTTTATAAATTGTGTAAGAGCCTTGTGACATTATGTATTCTTTTTACTTATTACTACAAACCTATGTGAGACCCTCAAACTAACTTGTGATTTAGTGAAGTCCTTTAAGCCTTTCCTTAACTTATGTAGGAGTTAGTGTTTTTTTTTCTTTCAGAATACACCAGACACTGTAAAATCCTTTTAACTTGGAAAATATGTTCTGAACGCATAAATGATGGCTAACACAAATAATATATTTTAAAATTCAAATAAATAAATTATTGTAAATGTCTGTTTTACACAACTATAAATTGAATCTTTGTTCGTTGCTAGTTATTCACTAATGAATAGTTTATGAGATACCACATTCCTTGTTGTCTTATTATATAGGCTGTGTTTTTGGTGTAAACCGTGTCATAAAAAGTAATTAACTACCAAACATTTCACCCTTGCTTTGAAGTGGTATTCTCAGACAGATAGTATTACACAAATTATACCACTTTAAGAAGGGCAAAACGACTGACAAGGTATACAATTTGACAGCACGCTTGGCCTTGATTGATTTTATGTTCTACTTTCTTGATGTGTAAAGTGACCTTTATTTCCAGGGACGGGTTGATGAAGATGAAAGGAGTTTATGAGTCGAACCCGAGCATGGGAGACCCAATGACGATAGAGGGGCAGTTGAACGCGAGCAGTCACAACCTAGAGAAGCTGAGACAAGAGCTGCAGAAATACCAGGGATATCTGGAGGAGGTGGAGGGGGGTGGAGGCAGTCCTGCTAACAGACGACACAACAACTCTACCAACAATGTCAACACCAACGGACTGCAGAGGCTACACAGGTACGGGGGTGGGCAGGCTAGGGTGTGCAAGAGGGCATGAATCGACAGTTCGTCATAAATGAGAAGACGCATGATTTTGGGAAGGCAAATCTTGAAAATCTGAATCCAAACTTTAAAAAATTTAGTTCTTAATTTTGAATACAAGTACAATTTTCACAGAATCGTCTTTGGAATATACTGATGTTTATATAGAATCTAGGTTTAGAAGCAATTTTTATGCAAACAATTTCCAAGTCTTTGGGTTGAAATGAGCCTTTGTTTTTGATGTGACAGAAACAGCGGAGGTAGTGGAGGAGAGGAAGAGTCGCTGAGCAGATCTGCGTCTGACTCCAGTGTTGCCAACCACAACCACAAGCAGAGCGCGCCAGGCACGCCACTACCACAGCACGGGTCAGTATCACACCTCAGTAGTCCTGTTCTCTCACATTATAGTCTGTTTGAGCCTGTTTACATTTATGATCATAGTATGGGTTTCAAGAATGAGAAGATTATTAAAAAAAGCTGTGTTAATTTTTTTAAATAAATTAAGAATTTTTCATTTGGTAATGCTGTGACAATGTTTCTTGGATATGGGTTTGTTTGATGAAATATAATTTGATATTTCCAAATTGTACAGAGCTGTACTTGTTCCCCTTTGCATTTTGTAAGTGGAGTAAAACCCTGGTAACGTTCCAGTCACGTTTTGCAGTTTTCAAGAAATCAACTGATGATAGGTATATGGAAAATTTCATTATTGAACCTGGCTCTTTATTTAACAACATTTGCCATATTGTATTCTCAATAATGGCTATTTTTAGAATCTTGTAATCCTGCATTCTTAGCTATCTGTAACTGTCCCGAGTGTGTTGGACTAGTCTATTATACAAGTGTAGCAAGCAAATACGAGTACAAGAAGCAAGTACCCTCTAAGCCTAAACAGTAGTAGGGGTTTACGGGTACTCAATATTTTTGAGTGGGGTCAGGCCAGCGATTGGCCTGAGGTGACCGCAGATGATGTTAACTATTTTGTCGTTAAACTGAAGACGTTCATAATTTTTTCGTGATATGTAGGAGGCTATGTACAATATTGTGTAAACCGATTGAAGTAATAAAATTACTTACAGCCATGGCCACTTGTATCCAAGCTGGTACTTGGCCTCGCCAACACGGTGTCGCCATTTCTCTCGGTCCTCCGAATCTTCCTCTACTGGTCTCATTGTATCCATATTATCTTTCCGAACTTGATCCCTAATCAATACTTTTTAAAGCAATCCAGTTATGACCAAGACTTCAGGGCTAAAATTTGCATTCTGCCCCAGAGTAAAAAAGACTGCCTGGCTCGCAGACTCTTAAACAATATTTCAGCAAGTTGGCCTACTGATACAAGTTGTGTGTGGGTGGTGTACTGTTACTACACTGATGGTGTGTGTCAGGTGCTCGGACAGTCCTGAGTCAGGGTTGGGAACCTCGCACACCTCACTCCCCGGCTCAGACGACGCTCCACAGACAGAGTACTACGACATGGAGCTGCTGCCACCCCTCGGCACCTGCCGGGCGCTCTACCCCTTCGAAGGTAATACCTTATAGCTGCTGACTTACCTTAGAAAGAGTCCAGGTAGCACTAGTACATAGAGAAGACGCAGAAAACACAATATTCTGTCACCTGTAGGATTTTGTCAAGTGTAGACTAAGAAAATTGAAAAACTCTCTTGCATTTTGTCCAACTCTCTTTGTCTAATTTTGACTAGTCCCCCAGGGGACAGAATAGCATGTGTTTATGCTATAGCCTACCTGAACTATCTCATTACCACAATCTTGGCTTGGACCCTTCTTTAAAAAAAACTAAAACTTACTCCCCTACAGATTTTTCCTTGTACTAGATATGCTGATTACAATTTATTGGATGATAACTTAAGAATGTAATGATATTTAACACTTTTAGTAGATAAGTCATTTGATTTGTTCTCATATGTAAGTACATGTAGATTTTGGGAAACCACTGTGTATTCTATTCCATGATCACAAGTTCATCACTACTTAACGTGTATGATGCTATTGAGTTTTAGCTCGAGTGATGGATTGTTATGTTCTATTGTAGCGACCAGTGAAGGCAGCATTCCCATGAGTGACGGAGAGGAGCTGTTGATCATAGAGGTGGACCAAGGTGACGGCTGGACGAGGGTGCGTCGGATGAATGACTTGGAGGAAGGCTTCGTACCCACATCTTACATCGAGAGCACCGTCATATCCAATTGTTAACATCCCCTGCAGCCGAGGTAAGCAGCAGACAACATTACACCTAGAGAAGAAATCCAATCAATAAAAACCAGCTGTAGAAATGTTTCAGTGCACTGATGTCAATGAATTAGAATTTCTCTCATATCGAGATGTAAAAATGATACACTCATCTCGTGATTATCCACTACTCACAATAAGTTTTTTTTTTTTGCTTGGTTAAAAAGGTTGCGAATGTGAGAAAAATCAGTAACTGACAACAGCACAAAATTTTCTGTTCAAAAACTCTTGTCATCATAAAAACGTAGGAAAGATATATCTACTTTGAGTAATAGCCAAAGATTGAATCCTGTGTGTAGATGTGAAATACTATGGCTCAATCCAATTGGTGATAATGGGTCATAAATTACTTAACTATTATTCAAATTTGGTATAACTTTTATATAATTTTGACTAATAGTTGTATTTTTATTTTTTATTAATTAATTATTAATTACCAATAATTAAGATGGGGGCGTATTTATACCCAAATATGAGTGAAAGATGAGTGTTGAATGGTGTAAGATGATATGTCGAACCATTGGTCAAGAATGCAACAATAAGCTACAACCGGTTAAATAAATCGATACATACAATAGCTTACAATCAAAGTTTACAACAGCTGACTTTAACTCCCTAGAGACTAAAAATGTGTTTTACTCCCTAGAGACTTAAAGAACTTCTTTGGACCCGGAACGTATGTCTTATGGTTTTTTTTTGCTGCAGTAGGACAAAAATAAGTTTTGTGTAATTTTATTTACTCATACAACTTAACTATTTTAACCTTTGTTTCAGCTGCCAGACACAGCTGGTGACTCCGGCGCCTGAACCTTTGAGCACAATTGGCCCAGTATCAAGAGAACATGCGGCCCTCCCTGCGCGCTTCTGTACATCCGTCGTCTCGCGCTGTCGTTACGTATTGACTTTGTTTCGCAGGATGTTTACACGCGTTCACTAAAATAAGAATGTTGAGTGTTTGTTACGAGTGTTGCAGGTATTGTGTAACTTGGAAAACGCAGGATGTCTACCGGTATTTTAATATAACTTGAAACTTACTAATTTTAATCTAAAGGCAAGTCCAGGATTTTTAACAGGGCCATAAGCATGAAATATTTAAAATCTGACATTTCTATTTTAAAACCTTGCAAAAATACAAGCAACTTTGGGATAGAATATAGTTTTTCATAACTTTTTTAAACAAAAAAACTACACAGTGCGTGATTTGCCTATACATTTTAACAATTTGCTTAATTAACCCATGGATTATGAAATTCGGGTAATTTTTTACTTTGTTGAAGATAGTACACTACACATATTTTTACTCAAGGGTACTTACTGGTAGACACCCTGAAATGTCAATTTGCTTTTTGATTTTTTCAGAACAATATCTCTGCCATTTAGTGATCTAAATTTTTGTCATAGCATTTTGTAGTTTTTAAAATGTAGTGCTATTTGCTGCGTTTTTATTTAACTATAATTTTAGAACTGTTTAAATGTTTCAAAATCAGGAAATTAAGGTTGTGAACAGATAATATGTCTCGCCAATTTCAAAGTTGTGCTAAACTTATTTAAACAAAATTTGAAGTTAATTTGAAATAATTTAAATATTTTGCTCAAAATTTTGGAATTGTCAATGGATGTGTGAGTGTTGTAGTATTTTTCGCTAGTCTAGTTAAAGTACATTTTGATAGGACTATACATTCCATGAAGCCCCTGGAGGTTACTATCTGCTTCCTCGCTGATTTTAGTATGGAATACTTTCCTTTTGTATATTTTATCTAGTTAAAAATCTATATTTCCAATTTAAATTATTTTACTATAAAATAAAACTACATGTAAATATATGTAACAAGTAGGAAAATTAGTGTAATTTACTTTTATATTAATCAGTGTCCATATATATATTAAAGCGTAATGTAATATATATGTGTAATAATTTGAAATTGTGGTGACATTTTTTGTGAGCTTAGTTGTCTTTATATGTGATAGTCTGTAAATCTTATCTAATCGTAAAGTAATACCACGGACTAACATTTTTTTAATTCAGTATAGCATATGTTTGTACATTTGTATAATGTGTTTACCATAAGTGGTGTATTGTTGGCATTTTGTTGTTACGTTGACTGTACGCTTTGACAGATATTTTTGTATTTTACATTGTATGATTGCTAGCAATTTCGAAGTCGTTCATATCCAGATTGTTTGAAGTCTTATTTGCCAATATATTTATCCATATAGAATTATGTGAATTTCTACAAAATAACTGTCAGTTAACAAAATTAAAAGTAGCAAAATAAATAACTTATAAAGTAGCTCAATGAAAATGTTAATCAACCCAAGTAAGTGATACATTTTTATTTGTTTTGAATTTGCCCATGCTTTCTCTTTACTTCCAGCCCTTAACTCTAACTATGATTTTATCAGTTTAGTTTGTCTTGTTAATAAATCATGTTCTGTAAAAATAAAACAATAGTTCAATGCATAAAACTCTCACTGGTAAGTCACATCTAGTGTAAGGCAGCTTCTGAGCATAATGTAGTTAATAATTTTATGATATTTTATATTATAATTTATCACTTTTACTGTTGTTATAGGCTACAACATATTTACTAGCATTGAAGTTGAAAAAGAAATGGAACGATCAAAGGAGCTTTTAGCAGTTCTTTTTTATAGGTTACTCAATTTTCTACTATCCATGACGAGTCAACTAGTTTAAGCTACCTAGCTGGTCAAAACTTGTCAGGATACATTTTTTAGTTGGCTTGTTTTAATAATAATATATTTAGGGCCTAAAGTGACTCTTTTTGACCCGAGGTCAATTTTTACGATCGAGGCGAAGCCAAGGTTGGAATATGAGTGAGGGTTAAAAAGTCACTTTTTGCCCGTGTGGTGAACTATATTTTTCGTCATATTGCATCATTGAATAACAAAAACAAAGTTCGAAAACAAAATAATTTTTTTGTAAAGATATCCTCTCAAAATGACGTCCAGCTTGTTTTCAATTCTGCTAATGCAAATAAGCAGCTGTTTGGTAAGTGATTCAAATATTTCGTCTATTAGGATTGTGTTACCTACTATGCCATCGATATGTCGAGCAATCGACAACAATAGGCAAAAACCTTACCTAATAAATCAATCGATAAATAGTTCCAATCGATACGATTGCCACAATCAAAATTTACAACTGTTTACAACAGTTGATTTTTACTCCCTAGAGACAAAAAATGATTTTTACTCCCTAGAGACTAAAAATTATTTTTACTCCCTAGAGACTAAACATTATTTTTACTCCCTAGAGACTAAAAATTATTTTTACTCCCTAGAGACTAAAAATGCTACTTTAAACCCGCAACGCATGCATTAAAAACAGCGGTTTTTGCTGCAGTATGACGAAAAAGGTTTTTCTTCCTTTGTTTGTATGATTCACTTTTAGTGAGTTTTAATAGTAGCCTAGCTTTCTTTATTTTTGCACAGTAAACAAATATTAAAGTATATTAAAAAGAATAGGTCCTTACATAAATGTATTTTCAACCTCAAATACTAGTAAATGTTTGAAAGATAGTGATGGGTAATGCAAGTTTGACTAGACTTATGTAATGCAACTTTTGTTACAAGTTGCTGAAGAAGTGTAGTTGATCATCTCAAGAATATATCTCTTGTCATTTGTCATACTACAAAAAATTTATTTATAAAAAAAATTACTTAGTAAAATTATTTATTTTTGTGCATTTTGGTTTCTGCTCTGTTCAACAACGTTTTATAATTGAATCGTCTGGTTTATGGTTCAGTTACATCTAAAATAATCAAGTTAACCTTTTGGTATCAAAACTATAGGTATTGAAGGCAGACATTGGTATAGTTACGTTTACATCTTTCCTAAAAACGAACAATGAATATTGTATTAGCATAAGCAAGTGGTACCAGCTCAATTGAATTAATTGTAATTATTTATTTTACTTGTGTAAATAAAATTAGTTATTGTTGCTTACTGTGATCTTGCAGTTTGGGCTGGCCTAAAGTTGAAAAAGAAAATTATTTTGAGGGTTGGAATTTTAAAACTGAAAGTGTTTTTTTGCATTAGAGATATTCTTATATTGCTGGTTTAAGATAACTGTGAATTGTATGAACTAATTTACAACTAATATGAGAATATATTTTAGATTTCTTTATAATTAAATATGTAGTAAACTTCTTCTAGTTAATGAATTAGAGTGATTGTAAACAATATAAACCTTTTATAGTATTAATAAAGCTATTGTTACATCTGTAATTTATGTACAACAAATCAAGTCCACACACAAAATGTAACTATTGAATTATTTATGTAAATGACGGTTTTCTTGTTTTGGTTAAATTTCCTTAAATTTTGCTAAATGAAAAGGACCAAGAAATCTCTGCTTCATAGCCATTAGTTAAAATTTAACAAGCGTTTGTTAATAATTACCTGGAAGCAGTTAGGATATTTTACAACAACGCATCACAAATCGATTAGATGTTCTAGCACTCTATTTATTACGCTTAGTGTTTTTGTGTTTTTCTGATAAATGTGAAGCAACAGGTGTGTATCTTTGCCAACGCAGACTTGGCATTGTTGTGCGTGTACAGTCTTGCCGAATGTGGATTAAGCAATGTTGTACATGTACAGACTTGTTAAAAGCAGTCTTGGTAAGGCTGTGCGTATTCAGTCTTGCCCTGCGTGGTTGTGTGTGTTGTGTGTACAGAAATTTTGTGCCAACTCTTGATCACTGCACTATAGATTGTTGCAGACTGTCTTATACCCCTTTTACGTTTAATGGACTAAAGGAGGGCAAGTACAAATTTGATCATTGAAAAACCTTAGCAAAATGAACAAACATTCCTTTACAGCAAAACTGTCTTAAGTTTTTACCTTTGTAAAGGTTGTGTAATCCGTCCTGCAAAATCGGTAAATTGTAGAATTTAGAGATAGTTAATGGACATTGATAGATAAGTAGGAACATGATGTTAAATATTCTTACAAAGTGCTGTCATATACATCTCTTTTCTGATGAAATAAATAGTTTCATATATTTGCTTTAATTTATGTAACGTAGATTCATAACGATTTGTAGAACCTCAATGGTGCAGTGATGTTCAAACAGTTAAATGTAATGATGCAAAGTGTAGGGTCGAAGCTCTCGTTGTTTCATATTATTGTATATTATCTGTTAATATGTATAAGTTACGATCAAGTTTTCGTGTTCACTGTCGTAGTTGTTAATACAAGACTGAATGTTACGAACAACACGGTCGCGAGGACTAGGGTCAGCGTATGTATCATGGTGTTATTGCAATATAGAGTAATCTCTAGCTTTAAGCCTTCGTATGCTTGTATATACTCTGTTTGGAACTTATTACTAGGAGCTCATTTCAAATATAACATTTTTATTGACTTGATATTTTATTTGCTGCAACCCTCAACCTACCATCTGCTTATTTAATATAAACTAGAGGTCGTCCAGTGGTCGAAAACTTAACCAAAAGTATGTAATGTAAAAACTTCTCTATTTTCACCCCATGTACAGACTTCTCTATTTTCACCCCACGCTGTAAATAAAACATGAGATAGGGATTTCTTTTGAAAGTGTCTTGAAAAAAGCATTTTGTATCAAGGGCTGTGAAACAATTTTGCCTATGTGGCAACATGATGTGAATGCCGTCGTATCACGTTGTGTGGCTTCGGACCGGAAGTGTTTTCCATAGCAAAAGCTGCAATCTAAGTTCATAAGTCCAATGTCTGAGCCACAAAACTCCCGAGGCACTTCTCTTAACACACATTTAAAACTATCTATCATATTCGGTATAATAACTACATCTTGTTGAATAATTATCATATTATAGGGACGGTTACGGTTTCTTCTTTCTATCCGGCCATTTAAGGTTCGCTGTAGAGACATTTCAGAATGGTACTTGAATGTCACTCAAGTTTATAATAAACAAATACAGTAAAATGATCAAAATTTCACTAAACAAGTAAGTATATAATAATCGGACATAGCACACAACACACAATCAGTGCAAAATCGGACTCACAACCACTAAGAACTAAATTTGTTTATGTTATTATTTTGATTTTATATTTTAGATGATGATTGCTTTCTGGTGAAGATACCACAAAAAATATTATTAATGTACACACGCCAGCCAACGTCTGTAGTGCATTTAATACAGTACACATTTTATAAGTATACATGTGATTGGAATTTCTTTGATTTGTTTTGATTTTCTGTTTATATTTCGTTGTTATTTCGTCACAAACATGGCAAATAAGACCCATATTAATTTTTTTTATTTTAAATTTATTTTTTGTGCTTATTTTTTGCTTTTTTAATTTATAAAGGGATTCTGCACACCTACAGGAAACATCTTCCTAACGGTATGCGTAGATTTTCCCTGCGATGCACACAAGCTGAGAAAAAAGGTTTTAAAGAACATGCTTGACTGTTATGGGCTGATTTTGAGAAACATACGATTGATTGTTTATAGATGCTAGATTAGCGGCAGACAACGAGCATGCACAGGGGTACTCCTTCACTATCCACAGGCATTGTTGATTGTTAACTGATTGCTTGAAGTCGGCAAAAGCGATGTGTTTTTTTTTTTATGTTAGCCTGATTCCTACTGTAAGCTATATGCTTGCTTTTTGCAGCTAGCCTAGCAACTATACTGAACAAGAGGAGGTTGAAAAATACTACCCTTGTGTTTTGAAATTCTCTCAAAGAAAGTGTTTTGGTAAGATTTGCGTTTAGTCTTAGGTGTTTGGCAAGTACAATCTAGATGTAGGTGTAAATCCTCCTATTAAATTAAACCTTTCTAAGAAGTTCTATACTATGGGGTTGCCGCAGAAGAAATTACAATTGAAAAGATAATGGATAATGGAATAGTGGTTTAGATGAATAATTTTAGCCGACGACAGTTTAAGATCGGTTTAGATATGAGAGGATGTGAAAAAACAGAGTATAAACTGGAAAATGTAAAAATTATGAGTTGACAACCCTATTTTTGCAATTAGTGGTGTAAAAATGTCCTAAAACAAGGATTGTAACCCGATTACAACTTCTTTTGGAAACCAAATCTGAAATTTATGTTGTAAACAAAACTGTTGTACACATTGAAATATTTTTTGACAAATACTAGCGTTCCCTAAATCCGGGGTAATCTAAGCCATTTTACAGCAATTATAAGAAGAAAAGTTTTGTTAAAAAATAAAATGTTTTCAAATTTCAGTGTTAACAACATTTTTACACGAAGTTGTAAACATAAGTTTAAAATGTACGTGTCAACTGGTGTTTACTAATTAAATTGAAGGCATCACGCCCATAATACAGTAGTGCTAATTTCTTGTTTATTCTTGACTATCCTAAACTGCGCTATTATTTTATTACAGTCCCATTAGTGTCTCAAAACTGATGTCTGAAGTCACACACCTCGAAGCTAAAGTTTTCCAGCGTATTCCCTTAAACAGCTAGGTTCTAGTCAATGGTTCTAATGTCTATAGGTCTTAATTGTTTGTATTGCTAAAAGAGTCCACATTGCTGCTTGCTCGCTGGCGAGTAAGTGACACTTTTACAACCCGCCGCCATAATAAACCATAGATGTGGAGGGTTGAGTTTTACCATGTTTTACTTGTCAATTAACTTTCCACCGCGACACTCACCAAAAACATTTATCCTAAGATGTTGATCGCTCCCGTTTAGGTGCCACAGAAGGTGGCAGGAATATTTTTCTAAACTGTGGTGGCACGGTGCCACCACAGTTTAGAAAAATATTCCTGCCACCTTCTGCGAGGATTTGTCGCTGACCTCTTGTTAGTTAGTGGCAGGTTGTTGGGGTGGCACATTTTTGGCGCTTCGTATTTTTCTAGTAATAGTGATAATTTAACAAGAAACCAAACGGCAATTCCTTGTACAGAACTCGGCAGAATTGCTCAGGGATTTTCGGATTTACAACGTTGATTGTGAAACTCCAGTCAATTATCCAGAATATCTATTATTTATGCCTTGAAAATTTTTGGGCGTAAACCAGTGGCATCAATGGGGCGTATGGAATACCCCCCAGGAAACAGGGGGGGGGGGTGGTCCGGGGTTTACAAAGAGTTACAAAAAAGGGGTTACAAAAAAGAGGGGTTTAGCTTATTTAATTGTCAAAAGCCATGGTGGAAGGAGGCACTTGGTAAAAAGTATTCGACCAATAATTATTGGTGTGTTCACTACTGCAAGGAGATCCAAATGTTTGTATATACATATTAACCAACAGTTGGCCCCAAAAGTCGAATCCCGTTATACTTACTGTTTAAGGGACAGTTATAAAAAGTAAGTTCGGCACTTTATGTATATTTCACTTTTTTTTCAAATCATTGTAAAAAACTAACTATTTGGTATTCAACTAGCTGTGGCTGGGATAATTGACATGGTATATAGTGTAACACCCCGATACGGGAATTTCATCACTCTCGAATCGCCGAGTATTTTCTCGTTCGTGTAATTAAACAGTTGGCTACCCTGGTGAAATGAATGTAGTTCTCCCCTCCATGACGACCACGATCCTTCAGAGAGTCGAGGTTGTAGAAGGAATTAACTGTCGTCGAGGGACAGCGTGTGGGTTTTTGTGATTTTTCTTGGTTTACTTTATGTTTTAAGTGTACTTTTGCCATTTGTTTAGTTTATTTTAAGACAATAGTGCATCTGGATCTTCTTCAAGAACCGTAAGTTGATCACATTTCTTATTATAGTCTAACCAAATATGAAACGTCAGAACTGTGTCCAACCTTGCTCCAAGTTGTTACCAAATACGCAAGATGTAATTTACGCTGTCTTTGTCTATGAGTGACAATCTTGTACTTACTTAAGCTCTAGGGACTGTTTATCGTTTTGAAATCCAGTATGTATAATGCATTACTAAACATCAAGTCAATACTGCTCATTGGGCACCAGAGACTTGCAAACCTCTTTGTTCACTTGGGAAATAACATTGGCAACCTAGAATACTTTAATGATTTCTGCCACATTTGCTCATTAAAACGCCACATTTAAGGTAACTTATATCAGTATAAGTAAACAAGTTGAAATATCCCAAATCGGTAACTTAGTAGGATAGGTCTACTAAAAAATTTCAAGACAATACGTAAGTTACTATAATAATTTCACATTGGACCTAACCTACAATAGGCTTAGGCAACATTTTAGACTAGAGCATAAGTCAAGTAAATGTAGGGGATTATGCTATATTGCCAACTAATATAATTATACTAGGTGAAACCCGTTGAAATCGACGGATACTTTCAAGGCTTACGCTAATTCATCTAACTGTGTAAAATTCTGTGAAATATAGCCTACATATTTTGAACATTTAGCATTGTTAAAAGGGTAATAAGTGTAAAAAAATAATGATTTTAACTGCGTTAGTTGCCAAATTTGGTTGATCATTCAATGATTAAATTATTTCCCATACCGTACGTCATCGGAGTTATTATTAAGTTAGTATGTTATAAAATATCTCTAACCTTTAAGTATTAAAATTGTATTGGTGGGCCTCCTCATTTATATGGTCTTGGTGGCTTCATTGGCAACAAATAATGCAAATGACATAGCAATGGGACATTTCCAAAAAGCAAAAATACTGTAACTTGGCTGTTACGTATATATTGACGTATATATACCCCCCCCCCCTCTGCTGTATTATGCTTGTATTTGGCTGTTGATATTGGTAATCAACGTACCTTATAAAGGATTATGTGATCTAGTTTAAAAGGAATATGACCTTTCTGTCATGACAGTAGCTGCTTAAATCGTATTTTCTCTTTGTACCATATTTTACAGCCAAAATATAGTGTTATTTTCAATAATGTTACCAACCCAGTGCATCAAAGTCTGTAATATAGGCAGGTGCAAATAATTTGTCAAGATGGGTACCATTTTAGGCAAGGTTTCTATGTTTGGGTTTTATTAGACACGATAAGAGCAGATAAATCTACATAAATATTTGATATGTGTAGAATAGTATGATAAAATGTAGGAAAAAGTTGTGAAAAAGGCAGACACCAACCCTTACAGTAGATATAATTAAAAAGTATTATTCACATGGCCAAAATGTAAACAACTCTGTGGAGGGATCTTTAAAGGCTTCTGGGGCAGAGCCCTAAGGGATTTTGCTTAGTTTTTCTTTTGATAACTCATCCACAGACCAAGACCTTTCTTTGGACACCTCTAAGTTTCTACGCCCAGCTGTTCTCTCAAATTAGTGGGGACAAAGTTTCCAATTAAATATTTTAATTCCCCCATGTTAATCTTATGGGAGAAAATCCAACTTTGATGGCCTGTGGGGCAAAGCCCGAGGATTTTTATTACAGTAATTGGTATAGTTGTACATATACAACACGAGACACTACACAAAAATATTTAAGCATGTGCATGGCTATAAAACTGGTGACCAACTGCTTAAATGTTTTTGTATCTTGTCGTGTGTTGTATAGGCCTATGTACTATTTATTAACAATTGACACAATGAAAATGAAGAAATAACGTGAAAAATGTAAATAAGTACCGTCCTACAATATTTTAGTTTAGTGTACGACTACACCAGACGATGGAGTAATCTCCGAAACGGCCGTAGTGCTATAACTAAATAAGGATTGCGAAGACATTAAGTACCAATATATATTTGTATACCTATAGGCAACATTTTAGACTAGAGCATAAGTCAAGTAAATGTAAATGTACACGCAATCTGCCACGCAGTGAAAAATCATTATTAACTTATGTGGCAGAATATATGGTTTAGCATGCTATTAATCACATTGTTGTGTTTTAACCCTTGCACATTTTACAAACACTGTCTGCTAATCCACCAATAACTTAGATAAAAATGGACAGTTGGTTTGTGTGCTTAAAATATTTTTAAACCAGGATTGTTAGATTCTAAAGGACTACTACCGCTGTTTACAGGAGTACCCACACACCGTTTTTACAAATCTTTACTTTTAACATTTTTTGGTAAAATTTAACATTAATTAAGCTACAAAAGAAGACATTGAACTTATTTGGGCTGCCGCCATAATAGGCTATTTCAGTTTTTCGGATTAGCCAAAAATAATAGACAAGTAAATATAATGGAATAGCTAAACAAATGTTGCCTTCTAAAACGGTCCCTAAAATTGCATAAGTTACTAAGAGTCCAAACCCCTTTCAAATACAAACAAATAAGTTTCAATTAAGAGAGACTGAGATTTAGAGAATTTTGAATCCCTCATTTCTGTAACAGCTTTCCCATTGAGCAGTAGTCTGTTCTAAAACTGTGCTCAGGGATAAAAAAAAGACACTACAGACACCCATCATGGTATTTGCAATAGATAATTGAGTGTGAATCAAAGACTGTAGTACATATTTCATCACTAGGGCTAATTTATAGAGAGTGACTCTTTTCGACCTGAGCTCAAGTTTTACGATTGAGGCCAAGGTAGGAAAATGAGAGTTGAAAATAGACACTTTTTTGCCCGTTTGATGAAATAGGCTATATTTGTTGTCATATTGCACCATTATTTGATCAAACAATGTTTTAAAACCAAAATAGTTTACATTTAATGTAATCTCTGAAAACTACTTCTAACTTGTTTTCAATGTAATTTGCTGATGAAAACAAGCTAACAAGCAGCTGTTTAGTAGTGATTCAATCTTTTCGTCTATTACAATTGTGTTAGTGTACATGATAACATACTATCACAATATCGAACTATTTACAATAAGGCACAATAAACTACAATCGATTAAACAATCCATAGGCTACTGTAGGCTGTGATGCATGCAAAGAATTGTTTACAATCGAAATTTACAACTGAGTTGACAACAGCTGATTTTTACTCCCTAGGGGCTAAAAAAATTACTCCCTAGAGAGTAAAAATACTACCTACTTTAGACCTGCAACACATGCATTAATACCCCCGCCGCAGCAAACCTGCAGACTAAGCGAATTTCCATTTTGCCTGATTTGATTTTCAATTAAATCTATTCAAATAACATTAGGTATAACGAACGAGCACCTAGGTTTACTGCCTACAGTGTAATAAAGTGTGTTTAAAAAAAAAAAAACACATATTTTATAGTAAAATATTAATAGCTTAGTATAAAATAAATAGATTGGACAAGTTTGATCCAAATATATGCATAAACAAGCAAACTACAACAGTTTACTTATTCTCCATAAGAATAACATGGGAATTTTTAATTTAAAATTTTATCCGTAACCAATAACCATACAAAACCCCCGCCGCAGCAAACCTGCAGACTATATAATTTCCATTTGACTGATTGGATTTACACTAAAATGTCTACTTAAAAAAATAACATTTATTCCCTATTTAAATAGAATTAGTTTAACAAGTACTTAGGTTTGCTGCATCAGGGAGGGTAAAACTGTTTTTTTTTTGTAAAATGTTAATAGTTAGTAAGAAATAAAAACATTTTCCAAATTTGATCAAAATATGTTCATAAACAAGCAAACTACAACAGTTTACTTATTCTCCATAAGAATAACATGGGAATTTTAAATTTACAATTTTTTGGAATTTTCTCCGTAACGATTAGGCGCATAATAACGCTTCAATATACTAAATTATTTGTTTTTTTAAGCTCTACAAAATGGTTTGGAAAGAAATTGCTAAATTTTATGTTTTTTGGGTCAAAAATGGGAAAACCCTATTTTTACCCCATAAAACCCCCCGTAAACCCCCGTTCCCATGGTCCGATCATGCTGGATCGCGAACTCGTTCGAATAAACGTAGGTTTACACGTTTGTACCAAATTTCATCAAAATCGGATCATTTTTGCTCGAGTTATCGTGCTGACGGACACATATATATATATATATATATATATATATATGAATTTGAACGGATGGTGTTTTTGGCCTCTAGGGACCTCAAATTGAAAAAAAAAATCGGTCCCGCGTCCAGGTCTTACCATGAGTACTACGGTAATAGCTTATTCCCTATATGGGAAATTCGCTAAAAAAGCTGTTTTTGTTGCAGTATGGCAAAAATTCTCTTTTATTTTTGTTAGTAACTTGCTCTTTCTAAAGGTTGTCCACCTATACCCTGTTAGTGAATTTCCCATAGGGAATAAGCTATTTACCTTAGATCTCATGGCAAGACCTGGACCTAGAATTTACTTTTTTGTTTTGATGTCCCCAGAGGCCAAAAACACCATCCCTTCAAATTTAGACCTATCCTATACATGTTTTTTTACGTTTAACACAAATTTCAAGTACCATGTACACTGTTTTATGATGAAAAAGGCTCACGTTTTGGTATTCTTGTATTCCTTATTTTATTGCCTATTAGCTGATGTGCATTGTTGCATAGTTATATCTATGAGTTTTAGTGTTAAAGGGAATTTATTGATCATGCTAAAACACCTTATTATTTAATTTTTACTACAAATGGTCAATACTGTAACATTAAACCTCATAGATAACTTGAACAATGTATATAAGCTGACCGGCAATGGAATAAGGAAAACAGGGATTGCCTACCATCATTTGAGCTGGTTTTGTTGTTAAAAAGCGTCTTATGGTAGTTGTAATAATTATTTATGTTGTGTAAAAAATACCCTTTTTAATTTGTGTTAGTTAGCACAACAACTCGACATAAATGATCTGATTTTATTGAAATTTGGTACAAATGTGTAAACCTAACCTATGTTTATTCGAACG